ATATATATATATAGATATATATCTCTGTAGGAATCCTTTCCATAATGTTGACATGGCAAAAAGCACTTTTCGTAGACGCACTTTGTCAAGCACAAGGAACTCTGCAGCCATTACAGCTTTTTCTATCTTGGTGAATTAAGAGTTTATTTCACCCAAACCAGCTTGTTGGTGATTGAAAGACTAACAAAGACATCCGCGAGGTAAAATTACTGGAGTCTGGTGGAACGTAGCACCCATTTGTTTTGGTCTGAGTTGCTGACCAGGGTTTAAAAATCTCTGACTACTTGTTACAGTCTACCTTTTGACACTGAGAGAGGCCTGAAGGCGATTATTAAAGCTTTGAATCATGGGTAAAATAAAAGCACAGACAGGGATTCTCTTTGTTAAATTAAATTCAAATCTGAAGTGTTGTTTTTTTCTCTCTCCTACAAAAGACAGACTCTGGGGAGTCTTTACTATCTGCTGTGTGGAAGTTTTAAATATCCTGGACTCAGAGGAGAGCCGCCTACAGTGCAGACTTCGGAAGAGCCTGATTGTACCCACTCTTGTTTATACACGGCCAATCAGTTATTTGCTAGAAGGGATTTACAAATGCCGTGTGTGTGTGTGTGGGAGGGAAAACGCTCAGTTGCTGAACCCACTCACAGTGCACATAATGGCCCTTTTACATGCACCATCCTACACGCTATTCAGATACAAAACCTGCCTCGCCCCTGGTGCAAAACATCTGCTCACAAACAGTGCAAACAGAGACAAAAAAGCACCGAAATGCATTCTGGGTACCTGCTATTAGCATATTAAGAGTAAAGTATGTATGTGTTAACCTTCGGTGGACACAGTTAACTGGGGTTTCGCTCCAGGATACGTCACATAAAGAGATTAATATGAAAGAGTTTAAACAAACAAAGAAGGACTCAGTGAGTGCTGACCTCCTTCTCCAAGGCTTTCTTCATAATGAGCTGTTGGGTATCGGCTATACCCTTTAGTTTGATCCACAGGAACATGCCTGCTGATGGGGCGTGCCACTCTGCTACATCTACACACATCAGAGAACACACAAAGACACACACACACACACACACACACACACACACACATTAGATGGGAAAAAAAGCCTTGGGTTAGTGACTCATAACTGCAGTCAGGATTTCCGGTCTGTGGTCTTCTTTGTGACTGCCTCTGTAAAACTTCTTGTCAATTTAACTTAGTCTGAACACATAGTCTATTAAAACAGTTTCACAAATGTGGTGGTTATTTTTGTTGTTTTTGTTACAAGTGGCACGAATCAGTACGTCTGAATGTGGAAGTGTGTTAACATGTAGTTCATTCACTGGCCACTAGGCGGTAGCTCTAAGGAAACAGAGACTGTACTGTGACGTCACTTAAAATGTCTAAGTCTTATTTTTTTATCAGGATAGTTTAATTTCACTTCTTACTCTTACTAACTCTTAATAGCATTAGTTCTCTTATTCTTTAACTTTACAACATACACAAACAGCTCATAAATAGGCTTTTGGCTAAATATTCCTATCACAAGGTCCAGTTGCTCTATTTTCCAGAGCTTTCAGCCACATGATAAAAACTTTAAGTCTTTAAACAAAGTTGTTTTAGTTAACTATGCTAAGCAAGCAAAAGTTATGTTTATGTTCAGTGTTTCTTACCAAAATACACTCAGTGTATACTGTTTTAATGCCTAACAAATATGTTCAGTGCATGTTCTTGCTCATAAAACATTTCCAAAGCTGATTTTTTTAAAATATATTTTGAAATGTTCAGTTTTTAAGCTCACAGTATACTCTGTCAGAACTACTTGTTTTTCTACTTTTCTCAGTCCACAAACCTTTGAGCCACTTGTCTGCAGAGCTGATCATAGCATCGCGTTGTGTCCTGTAAAACTCAATCACCCTGTGAGAGGACAGAAACACAGAGCGTGCGTCTTATTTAACCACCACCGTACATGTTATAAATAGGTATAATTATTTTCATAACCAGTCAAACCGGTCGGCGTTGTGGGAAGGGACGTACCCATCTATGTGTTGGAGGAAACCCTCTTGACCCCAGCTATGCAACAACTGAGACACCATGAGCTGAAAGCAAGCAGGACACAGGTTATATAATGTAATGACTGGCACAGATTCAAATAATTTGACTGTAAAATGATCCTGCGGCATGCCTTCTGCCTTTCACCACAGACCCTTTAAATGTTTGTTATGGTCGGTTCATGTTGCGAATTTGTCGTACATTTTGTACACACGTGCATGTTTGTATCTTTGCCAACATTTTAGTCCAGATTAGATGAAAAAGCAGAGGCGAGGTTTGAATCGAAATATCTATGTAGAAAAGAGGTTTCTGTGACAGACAGTAAACACAGCAGAGAGTCGACTCTTATTTCTGAGAGCAGGAAGTTGTTTGCCACTACACCGATAATGCAAAACGTCGACAGGGCGGGGTTTGGTGGTGTTAACCTGTGTGAAGGTACTGGTGTGCATTGTCGAGGCCTGGATGTGCAGCACCACCCTGTCTACCAGAGGTTTGGGACCAGTCAAAAAACCAATCCTCAGCCTGAAACAAACAGACACACAGACGAGAAGTCAAAGACAAACAATCTACCAAACAGGATGTAATATTTAACCTGATATCACTTGAAATATTCATCCCGTAACCTAAAAAAATGGTCCGGTATGGCATCTAAATACATAAAAATTAACTTTACTTACTCGTATGTGGCTCTGAATAAATATTCATTTTAAAAGAGCCGAGTTAAGTTAGGAACAAAAGTCTAAATGCATTTTCTAATTTGGATTGGGCCATCTTCACTGACATTAAAGTACACTTATGACACAAAATAATACTGCAGGTCACCACTGGCACTCAGCTCTCATTGTTGTAATCTGTGGGGGTTTAAATCTCTTTCCTCATGACTACAGTAAGTCTAAATCTAAATCTAATTATGTCATTTTTATGCTTTAAATCTGAGAAAATGTGAGTGTGATCTTATTGTTTAACTTAATGATGTAAATGTAGAAGGCCATGTCTATAATATGTTAAAAAATATGATGCTGAGTGTTTTTACAGTCCGTCTGTACTTTAAAAGTCTTCTAAATGTGCTCAGTACAAACACCATCCTGTCCTCCTGCTCAGTGTCTTTGTCCTCTCTCCAAACAGATTGTTGACTCCTGGCTTAGGTGATGGTTAATGTAAATACACACACAGTTAAAAGCCTGCTATGGTCTAACATCCTTATGTGCTGCAGCAAGATTTAGGCACAACCATGAAAAACATCCCCATAGCAACGTATTCGGGGCCCAAAGAATCATCAGTTGTATCCTGCACACACAAACCATCCCGTGTGACCAACGAGGAGTTATACAAGCAAATTAAACTGTACGACAGCATGGAAAAACACGCCCAGTTTACATATCAGGTCATGACTCGTTCCTGGAAAAACATTTCCCCAACCACACACACACACACAGATTCACACGCTCACCCTGAGGACAGAATCTTAGAGAAGGAGTCTGTCCTGATGATCCTCCCGTCAACGTCCATGGAGAGAAACGTGGGCGCCCACGGCTGCCAAATACATGACGACATAACACGAATCAGTTTGTAAAGTGCTGACATCACATAAAGTAACAAACCAAAGGAGACGACTGAACTATTTTCCCTCTTTAAATGAGACGAAAGGATCGTGAACTGTTTTTTTTTTTTGGTACCTTGTCAAACTGCAGGAAGTAGTACGGGTCGTCCTCGATGATGAGCATGTCGTACTGCCTGGCCAGCTTTTAAACAGACGTTAATAGAAAACGACAGAGTGAATCTGCAGGGAAATCAGCTTTACAACAAGCTCCAATTAGTGGAGTCGACGCTTCGCTGGCTGCTCTGCATAAATCAGACGTGGAGAGAAAGATTCGTAAGATATAACTTCATCTGCAGCGTGTGCGTGAGTTTAGTGACGAACCTCATACACTTCCTGCTTCCTCTGAGTCGTCATGGAGGCCCCGGTTGGGTTTCCTCCGTTGGGGATGGTGTAGAGGACCCTGGGTGCGGTACTGCCGGGTTTGTGGACCTCCGAGGGGTCCCACTGAGATAAAACCTCCTTCAGGCCTGCAGGTATAATGCCGTGCTGATCGCTGGGAACGTTGATTAAGTTGCAACCGAGCGGCTGGAGCTACGGAGGGAAGGAGAAAGTCACAAGGTTACAGAAGGTTGAGGACGTACGTGAATGTGTCTAACGTTATAAAAAAAAAAAGAGTTCTCTCACCGTGGCAAGAGTGCCTGAATACGTGGGTGCGTCCAGCAGAACGTTGTCTCCAGGGTTGACCAGCATTTCAAACACCTAAAACACAAAAACAGGACTAGAAATATGCCATATGGAATCAATGAGCCTCGTGCAGGAGAGTTTAAGTATAAAAAATAAACACAAACTCAAAACACTGCTCACCATATTATTATCTGGTTCTTTAGATTTTGGTCCTGGTCCCAAAAACAGAACATTAATAAACACAATTGTCTTTATGTGATGCTTTGCCTTCACATCTGGTCCTCTAAGAGCTGGCTAACAGTGTGAGTGCAAGTGAACAGCGGTGTGTGTCAGTACCTTACAGAGCCCCTCCTGGCTCCCCGTGGTCACACACATGTCCATCTGGCCGTTCTCGGGGGTGTAGCCGGCGGTCGGCGGGTTGTGGAGGTTCTTCTGCAGGTTCTTCATCCACGTCAGCAGCTCGGGTATTCTACATAGGGATGGAAGTTTTTTTAAGAGTACATAAAACTCCAGAAAGTGAAAGAGTATAACTGCGCACACTGTTTGACTGACTGGTTGGAAGTACAGATTAAAAACACCACAGCAGAGAGCTCGGAGCACTGAAAACAAAAGAGCTTCTCCGTTTGAAGTCCAGATTGGTCCCCGAATTATTAGACAACAGCAGAGAGAGACGACAGGAAATCAGAGCTAAAGATGGTCCTCATATAAACAGCCTATTGTGACGGATTACTCAACAAAAACCAGGAGTCATCAAGTGGAGTCGCTTGAGTTTACAAAGCTGGTGATAAAGAAGAAAAAGGTCGCCGCAGAATGATAACCTCCACGCGCTGCTGCACGCTTATCTGATGTAAAGTGGAGATAGACGTACATTTACAAAAGAAAGGGCTTTAATGTCCAGACTTTGAAACTTTTAAACTTTACTCACTAATGTAACGGCCACATGAATACACACTTTTGTAGCCAAAGATAACACAGGGAGAAATTTGGCTAAAACAATCTGACACTGATGAGTCCGACCTTTCCTTTTCACTCGCTCTCCGCTGCTCTGTTTAATTCTTAATTTCCACTCAGTGCTCAGGCTGATAAGATGTGGTTTCATTTATAACCCCATCCACTGTACTGACATTAAGAGATCACAGTTTAATCTCATGAAGAAGTGACTGATCTCAGGAGTCTCTCACCCAGTAGAGGCAGAGTACTGCAGAGCCCTCTTCATCGCCGCCTCATCGAAGGTGAGCGTCTGTCCATTCTTCATCTTAATGGACGCCAGCTGGAAGGGGAAGGTGTTGGGGTTGGGCGCTCCTCCGGCCAAAGAGATCAGGGACGGAGGGGAACGCTGCTGCAGCTCAGCTTCACACAGGTAGAGACAAAGAGGATGAGGTTGAAATACAGATTATAAAGATACAAATGTTGGAGAAATGCGTGCAGTAATTGTACAGTAACCTAGAGTATAAGCTACGATGGAAATATGTGAAAGTGAGTGATTTAATATACTGCTCTCAAGTGACCAGTGAACATATTTGAAAAGTTTGTAGGTGGAAACAGACTTTTAACAGACTTTCAGCCGGCAGGTTCTGGATTTTTTACTTTTTTTTAGAGTGACGTTTTTTTTTTTTTAACATAATCTAATAAAAAAACACATTATGACTAAAATGTGTTCAAAACAGGACATTTTAAAGTTGGAAAAATATGTTAATAGCTGATAACATTAGAATAAATTGATATATCTACTAGACATTTAGGCTAAAACAAGGCAGAATTTGTTTTCCTCCCACTTTACATATATATTAATTGTAGTAGTAACAATAGTAACTTAAATGCAGTAAAAACAGTAGCAAGTTGACTTCATATAAATAACTTTTAAAGCAAATTTCGCCCAGTTTTTGCATCCCCCCCAAAAAAATCAAGGCTGGATGACCAAAAGGGGCAAAAACTGAGAATCACACAACATGTCAACTGGTTTGTGCTAATTTTATTTAAATATGCAGCCGGACAGCCGTATATCAAAGGATCTGCTTTATTATCTGATCTGTGTCCAAATCTGTTGTTATGCCTTCATTATTGCAACCGTATGTCTTTGATGTGCTATTAATAACTATTTACATTATTTTAATTGAATTAATTGAGTGTTAGAAAGTGAAATAGAGACATATGTGTCCATTTCTATCTCCTAAAGTGTGTGTTTCTTTCCAATCAACAATCCAAAACCAAAGATCTTCAGTTCATACAAAGAGAAGTAGAAAGTCCTCTCAAATAAAAAGCTGAAACCAGGAAATATTTGGTATTTCTGTTGCTAAATTTGTCCCGGCAGGTAAATCTGCATAAAATGTGTAACATGAAACCTTTTATTATATATATATTTAATAAAATCCTGTATATTCAGATGAATTATTGATGAAATACTCACTCAGCATCCTGATGGGGGAGGGCTTTCTGGCTGCACTGACAGCTGTCAGAAACCGAGCGTAATTCATGATTCCTGCAAAATTAAACACTTCAAAAATAGTTTCCTCTCACACACAGATGAATATATTGGAGTTGTATTTATTTATTTGTTTATTTCTGCAGCTTCCGCCTGTTGTCGACAACAGCGAGAGATGAATCTGGTGTTTGTACTTCCCGTTTGTCTATAAAATGCTGCAACTAATTAAATAAAACCTGTGTGACCTGACAAACCATGAACTCCTAGTTCCGACACAACTAACTAGTGTGAAAGCAGCAGTACTTTAACGTTAAAATACTGTAGACCAACACTAAACTGTGCCACAGTGAGTTAATACACAGTCTTTGTGACATTAACCACAGAAACAAATCACACCGGACACATTTAATACATTTAACAGTTGTTTACGTTCACTGCACCACGTTCAGCTGTGTAACTGACCTTGCGAGTCGGCTTCACTGCCGCGGGGGCTTCTGGTCATTGTAGTTCTTGATACACCGAGACCTACAGTGGTCAACTGCCGTGACCGCGCAACGTGGACTACATTACCCAAGCTGTAAAAAAAAAAAAAAAAAAAACTACAACAATAAAAAAAACACGTAGCTAGCGAGTCAAGCTTTAGGAAATTAGTTCGATTAAGTGTTTGCTATTTTCTTATAGTTAAAATGAAGAAAATGACCGCGAATCCTTACCGGTGTGTGAAGTTTGAGTGACTCCCGTTTGCCTCCACTAGAGGGCAGTCTACTGTAGCCGGAGAGCCAAAGATGACCGGAAGTGACGAAAGCGGTTGAACAAAAATACAAAATCGTTTTAAAAATACTTATTTAAAAAATAAAAATAATAATAACAGTAGTAATTAGAGATGATTTAAATATAATATTAATAAATGTAATTTTAGTTTAGTCTTTTTCCTGCCACTCCACACTCCAGTCCCAACGGCAAACCGCCGTTTAAAAAACAAAAAAAAAACCCGACGAAGAAGAAGTGGTCGCACTTCCTGTTGTTAGCTTAGCCGCGCTAACCTCAAATTTCCGTAACTTTTATTATAATTTCTCGCCTGTTACGGTCCTTTGTAACACGTTTTCCGGCCGTGCAACGTGTTTTTCTGTCACACCGGTAACTCAAGTCTCTTCTGCGATGGGATTTCTAACGTTAGCTGTAGGGGTTCTAGTAAATGTGAGCGATCTCTCGGCTAAATAAGGTAAAAATAAAAGATAAAAGATAAAAGTTAAAGCTTCGTTCAACGTAACCTCGTATAATTCAACCAACAGATGCATAAAAAAAAACATAGGAATTTAAAAATACGCGCAGCTAAATGTCAAAAGGAGAGACTTTACGTGCATTTGAATAAACGTAGTCTTTATTAATGTGATTGTTGTGTTGTCTCTTCTGCAGTCAGCTCTGTTTTCCAGGAGACTTTGAGGATTTTGCTGCTATGTAGAGCTGCAGACTGTCCGTCCTGTCCTCGGTGTTTACGTCCCTGTCGTCGTTTCAATGGGGAAAAGGAAAGACATGATTCACACCAGGTTTCTCGGTGAGTATACATGATTATTGGCTTTAAATGAATCATTTTTTCTCTCTTTGTGCTGAAGTGTACAACCTGTTCGCTGGTTCAATAAGTGCAGACCTTTTAACACCAATGCAAAAGCCTTGTGGGTGTTTGTTGAGTCTGTTTTTGGATGAGTTGATTTCACTTTACGGTCGTTTTAAAGGCTGTTTGTGATGCTGTTGAATTGCATCTTTTAAATTTTTTTCAAGGGCTTTTCTTTATACTTAAAAATAAAAACAGAACGATTCAAGAAAATAAAAATGCCAGTTCAAAAAACATCATTGATATACATGCATTTAGGTCTAAAAGCAACCACAATTTAGTAGCAGAACTGGGCAGATACTGAGTTTAGAGGGTAAACATTCACCCTCTTCCCAATGATGTAGTGAATTTATTTTAGATGGGATGAAAATTGACCTTTTCAAGTGGCTCGTGTGCTCATTTCTCGCCGATGTGACCACGCAAAGGTCCTCCATCGGCTCCATTTAACAGTTTATACATTTCTATTGTATTCATTTGTTTTCCTCTCGTCCTCTGCAGGTGAAGGCAGCTCCAGCCTGCACAGCGTTCACAAGCGAAAACACAAAAAGCACAAGAAGCACAAGAGGAAGCACCACAGCTTCCCCGAGGCCCCGGAGCCCGAGCCTGTCATGATTCCTCGACCTCCTCCGCAGCTCCGACTCAAGATCAAACTGGGAGGACAGACGCTGGGGACCAAGAGGTGAGGAGGGCGGTCGGGTCGTTGGTGAACCGCGTCAGTCTCCGTCTTCATCAAACCCGAATCAGTCAGTGAGTTTGTGTCTGTTTCTTTTTTTTTATCAGCGTTCCCACCTTCACCGTGCATCCCGGCGTGGCTCGTCCTCCCTCTCCTTTGATGATCATTCATAATAATGATGTTGATGATGACGACGACGACGACGAAGACGATGATGATGAGACGATGTGCCCTCTGGTGCCTCTGGGAGCGTATCGGCGCGCTGGGTAATGTCACAAGCAAGGGGGGGGGGGGGGCCCTTTGTTTAGATAACTTACTTTTAATACTGCCCTCTGGATGGAAAGTCTCCTCTTGTTGTTAAAGTAGATTTCGTCTGAGGTTTCGGTTTAATAATAATCTGACAGAGCGGCTGTGCTACTGTTAAATAACGCAGATTTCTTCCCTTTGTCAGACCTTTGTTCACTGTCGGAGCACCACATGGATCAATCTAAGGCATCACAAGAAGAGTTGTACGCATTAGAAAGCAAAAATTATTTCTAGTAGAAAAATAAAGTTTATTTTTCAGACATTTGTCTAATTTGTGGCCTCCTAAAAGCCATAAACATAACAATCTGAGAGGGAAATTTGTTCACAAGTTGACTTCATTGTAAGTGGTCTTTAGTCAAAAAAGGTTAGAAACCACGGCTATGTGGAAATGAATGGAAACAACTGAGAACAGTCAGAAAACTACAACCAAGAACATTAAACTGTATCACATTGATGCAAAAAATTTAAAGTATAGATGATTTAAACTTAGAAAAACACACAAGTTAGAGTTAATTAAGATGTTTAGATAGATGGCACATAAAACCGTTATAGCCTAATAGTTGTTTAAATTTATCTTAAGGAGTTTTTAAAACATCCACTCGATGCTAAATAAAACCTTGAATCCTAAATGGAGCACAGTGAATGCAAATTAAAGTCATATTAGAGGTTTTTCTGTCGTACCATCGACATGACAATTTTCTAACCTTGTTTGGGAAATAAATTAATCATCATGTTTATCTTTGTTCTGTATCAGACGAAGACAGCAACCTGGCCGCGTCCCCTATGCCAGACATGGACTCAGACTCCATGCTGGGCGCGCCTGTGGACGAGGAGGAGAGGTGGCTGGACGCTCTGGAGAAGGGAGAGCTTGACGACAACGGGGAGCTAAAGAAGGAGGTTGACGAGTCTCTGCTCACAGCCAGACAGGTGAGGAAGAGACGGAAGCAGGAAACGTATGTGTTTCAGTTCCCTATTGTTAAAAAAAAAAAAAGCTTACCCCTGATTGTTTTTGTTTTTGTGTGTGTGTTCAGAAAGCTCTGCTACACAAGCAGCAGAGCCAGCCTCTCCTGGAGCTCCCCATGGGTTACAAGGAGAAAGAGATGACCGCAGAGATGATGCAGAAGCGGGAGGAACGAGCCCGAAAGAGGCGCCTGCAGGCCGCCAAGAAGGCGGAAGAGAACAAGAACCAGACGATAGAGAGACTGACAAAAACCAGCAAGGCCAAGATCAAAAGCATGAAAGAGAGGAAGTCCAAGCAGAGTCAGTGTCCCATGATCCGGTACAGCGACTCCGTCCAGGGCTTGGCCATCTCCTTCCCAACAGGGGTCACCGCTCCGGCACCGACGCCTCCTCTGCCTCCGCCCGCAGCCCCGGCGAACTGCGGGGTCAGCGGCTGCACCAACGTCAAGAAGTACTCGTGCTCAAAGACCGGGGTCCCTCTCTGCAGCCTCGAGTGTTACAAGAGGAACCTGCTGCTCGTTCAGAGCGCAGCTTGAACGTTACAAGGGTCGAATACATTTCAAATGGTCGCAGTCGTAGTTCTGTTTCAACTGCATTGGGATGTGAGGACGCCGTGTACAGTCCAAGTGGTCATATGAACTAAACTAAAGTCTCTTCAGGACTCAGAATCAGAAAGAACAATGTGGATTCACTTTTTATCTGCGTTTTTTTTTTTTGTCTACTACATGAATATGACATTAATAATGATAATGGTTTTCCCTGTAGTGATGCTGGTTACACAATTCAATTATGTATATTGTAAAATATTAAGATATAAAAAGTTTGTGTACCAGTCAGTCAAACGTTACACAATATTTAAGATTTCCCTTTGTGGAGCTGAAATATTAAAACATTAATATTTTTGTATAAGTTTGAAGAGAGGGTAGCATTTGTTCCACTAGAACTTAATTTTGTCAATAATGTAAAAAAAAAAAAAACTGTTTAAAAACTGACAAAGGTCGTCAACGACAAGCAAATTCCC